AGTAGTAGTAGTAGTAGTAGTAGTAGTAGTAGTAGTAGTAGTAGTAGGAGTAGGAGTAGCAGTAGCAGTAGCAGTAGCAGTAGCAGTAGCAGTAGCAGTAGCAGTCGTCGTCGTAGTAGTAGTAGTAATGCCCTTGTTACTAGTAGCGATGCCGGTGTTACTAGTAGCTTCTTGCTACTAATCCACCCACGCCGGCCCCAACCCACAACTTCCCAGCCTGAGCCGCCCTTGAGCCCCAAACCTCTCCGCTCATAAGGCCTGCGCTCTATTCAAGCTCATGCGGAGAATGCCCAGCTGGCACAGCTTCAAGAGGAGGTCGCAAATGAAGCGTAATATATACTGTACATACACATATATATAACTACATATTGTAACAAATTCATCAATCAACATACATATCCTAAAAACCGCTTTCACCAGATGTGGGATAACCCAAGGACTTGAGGAATTTTGGATTTGTCAGTGCTGCAGTGGAGCAATCCACACCGCGCAGGCAGCTCTGGCTGTGACTTTGCGCACGGACTTGCTTACCATCAAGGCGCCCTCAGCATATGCGGCTCATCGTGTCAGGTGGCCTACGGAAGATTGAATTCGAGATCGTTTGGTGCTTGGGGATTGTCCTTTGATAACCTTCTAGTATACACATCATGTGTGGTATTGTTGTTTCCGAAGGTCACTGGAGATCCTTGCCTTGCTCACTTTGCATTTTAGCTGATCGTAGACGTGCCACTGATTGAAATAGTGGATGCACTTGTTCAGTTGCATATATTCTTTGGAAACGAGTGGATGGGAAATGGGTTATTACATATAGATATATGAAAAAAATCTATATGTAATGGGTGGGCCATGAAAGGCAGCGCTCCAAGAGGAAATGCAGATGACTGTTTTGAGCCATGCTAGTTTGTGGCTTCCATCGATGTGCAACACCTACAGGAGGAAATGTTGCAACTGCAGCAGCAATCAGTGGATGATGCAGATGCTGCGCAAAGGCGCTGCTAGTGGATGGGTACCGATTCTGACATATATATATATATAATTGTCATTATATAATTAGCAAAAAAGCGCTGGATCTATCCCACGACCGTCGCCGCAAGTAGCTTGGTTCCTGAATTGAGCCAAATTCTCATTGATCAGGTCTGAGCTCGTGATTGCTGCCCTGAGAACCCGTAACCAAAAGCTGAAGGGCAAGTACGAGGAGGCTGTCGTGACATGCATGCCACCAAATCGGAGATTCATAACCTGAGCATAGAAAGAGTATTTTGCATAATATTGCATAACATTGGATGCTTCAGGAGAAACGGCAGCGTCCGTCGCTGCAGGTTATACGACATAGAAAATCAAATGACTTCTTGCAGGCCAAGCTGGGCGAAGAAGAAGCGGCCACATTGGCTGAGGACCTGGAAATGCAGCAACTCAGCTGAACTTCACAGTGTTTGTTTTGGTCACACATGGCCACATATGGCCAGCCAAAGAGACGGTCAGTTCATGTCGGTGTTTATTTGGTGGCATAACTTGAGCCACAGTAAGTCGAGGGGGTGAAGGTTGCAGGGTCAAGTTCGGAATGACCAGCAAGCTGAGACCTAGACAAGAAAGTAAATTTAGGCTTTCGTTATGCCAAAACTGCGTTGAACTGCACTTTGAATGGAGGTTGAGAACTCAAGAGTACCAACTTGAAGAGCGGGCAATGCTAACATCTCAGAGCCTTGGCAAGCCAAACATGCCAAACGAATGGATGAGGGTCAATTGGATTCTTGGTATTTGATGTATTTGTAAGAATTTGGGTAAGATTTCACAGAAGCCTGAAGATTCGTAATGAATTCTGCCCATTTGGATGAACGAACTTGCGGACTGTCTGTTCAGGCGCGCCTCCACACTCCCCCTTGCTATATTGTATAGCGGGTAAAGGTGGATGTTTGCAGTGAGACTCACTACAGAAAGAAACGTGAGACCCAAAAGAAAAGAACTCTGTACGCTACGAAGGCAAACAGGATACGAAAGGCAAGATGCTAGCATTCCGGCAGGAGACGAAAACACAAAACTGATCATCGTGAATTAGCAGGTAACGAAGAACCTAATTAGGGCCAGGGTGTGCAACCAAGTCGATTTTTTTTTCTGAATAGGTAGTAACGAATATGTTGTGTAAACTTCTCCCGTTTTGACACAGCGATCTCCGGCCAGTTTGGCCATTGCGGTGCGTCGTCGCGCAAAGGAATTGGGAGCGGGAGTGTTTCGTTGTGGAACGGTGGGTTATGCGATATAGTCAAGACCAGTTCCTGCAAATACTGATACGTTTCTTTTGCATTAGGCAATGAAAACACCAGATTCATGATACCTCGAAAATCCCAAACGTGTGAGACTAGAGGTACCTTGTAACTTATAGGCAGGGACGATCTTGGATCTGGAAAAAGTCTGAATATGCTTGATTATCAATCGGAATGTCTCTGCTAAAACCCGAACTGACTTAAGCTTAGCAGGTTGCAGGCTAGTTTTGGGGTCGTGATAATCAAGAATCTCGCTAGATGTCTTGCCTGCAACTCAAATAGGCAGTGGGCGCCCTGCCCATAGCATAAACGACACAGCCAGTTCTGTCCAGGATATTCCTGGGTCTTTTGGCATAGGAGCGGTGTTTTCAGCTGGCCACCTGGCCCATTTGGATAAGATCAGAAGCCTGAAGATTTCAGTTCGCCCACGACAAAATGCCTTTCATGTTTAGGCTGGATGGCCTGCAGGGCCTGCAGCTTCAGGGCGCTTCTGACCAGGCCAGGTGCTGGCCATGTGGGGCAGTAGGAGGCAGTTCAAGTGGATTGTATTTCTTTAATTGGTTGACCTCCACTTCACATTCTGAAGAGTGTGAAGCAGGAATGTTCGCTAAAGGCTCTAGTAGACTCTAGACTGCTAGTCAGATTTAGACACCCTAGTTTGTTTGACTCGTTTGTCATGATGATCTCATGCTAGGTCGCTGCTGCCTACTTGCAGTTAGAGAGAGCTGCGGCTGCGGAGCCGTGGCCCTATCAACTGCACAGAACCTTTGATGAAAACCACCCAACTAGGAGCAATGTTCGCTACTAGGAGCAAAGGGCATCGCTACTAGGAGCAAGGACGCTACTAGGGGCTCCTGGCCTTACTACTAGGAACAAGAAGCTATTATAAACAATATAGATAGTATTTGAGTTTAATTAGAATCTAATTAGAATTTAAAGAAAAAACTGTGTTTCTCTTCCTTTCTGCGAAGAGCGTAGCTGAAGGTCTGTTGCCCAAGCACGGGCCTCGGAGTTTTCTGAGCAGAAGGAGATCTTGCGCGAGGACCTGCTTGGCCACAAGCAGTCGCTGAATCTCTCGGGGGGACGGGGGTCCCCTCAAGTGTCATGAGATCCCAACATATCTCAACGGTGGTTGATTGGAAGAGCCTTCTGCATCACCTTAAAAGAGGATGGGCATCAATAAACAAACAAAGTACATCGAAAAAAGGACCACCTGCGCTTCTGCTTCGTTTGGTGGCCATCCTGCTCCCTGGGTCCTCGTGTCCCCTGTGCCCTGGTTGCGGACCTTTAAAAAGGTCCCAAGACCTACCCTAATTTGTGTTCTGGAAGTATCTCTCCTTGGATTGTGTGTTTTATGTGTGTACTTGTTTGTTTTGTTTGCTTCTTTGTTTGTCCTGCTGTTTTTTCTTAGGTTGGTATTTTGACTCTTGGCCTGATGAGTTGTTCATAGGGTTCCTTCAGGGGGCTAAACCACACCAAAGCAATCCAAGTACCTAAACTTGTGGCCTGCCAACAGGTCTTATCCACAACTTCACTCAATGCCGCGCCTGCCACAAAATTGGCACAACCCTTCCACCTGCCATGAAACTACACCTGCCATTAAATTTGCACTCAGTGCTCCACCAAACTGGGCTTTGGCCGTGCAAAGTGTCGCAAATACCAGCTCGAGAGCACCACGTGGAGGCAGCCCCACTCTAGCTCGGCTCTCCAAGATTCACCAAAAAACGTTCGCACTGGAATGTGTCTGATGAGTGACCCGTCACCTGATTTCGACTTGGCCAAGCGCCAAACCATCCCCATGTGGATTTTGTGGACCGAGACTCCAGCCGCAAAGCACTGCAGATGAACAGGGCAACAGATTAATCAAGCAGCAGCAAGAAAAAGTGG